AATCTTGTATGCTGGCACTCCTCTCTTTTTCTGCTTAAACCAAAAGAACATGGTAAAAGTGTTCAAACACTACTTTCTTGTAGAAGAATAAACAAACTAAACAAGAATAAACAAGAAAGTAGTGTTTTCGTAGAAACGTCTACAACAAATAATGAGACATACATATTAAACACAATATTACTTCTTCTCCTCTCTTGTAGTTCATTAGCTAAGAACCAGACACAGATAGTTTAGGAGCTTTAGTTTCAGTACTATCTTTTCATGTGTATAGGCGCTCCCTTAGCTAAAAATTGTTTATCATACAGGTTGATTTGTATTATTCTGTTAATAAATATTTACAATATTTGGATTACTCGTAAAAGTAACAGTAATGTGCCCCCCTATTCAAGACCAATCTAGTTTTATAGAGCACATCAAATTACGTTAGAAACTGTTTTTTTTTACTTCATAGCTGATGCAGAACCCGAGAAAGTTGCTGTATTGATGGGACATTTCGGATGAATTTACCCGCTTGTTTATCATTTGGATTTTCCCGATTTAAAGTTAACTGCACCGGACAAATGACTTGTTTATTATGGTTAAATTTATTATCAGAATTGATGGTAATAAGGTCATCAATGTATCAAAATGTACTATTCAAAACTCTACCGGTCGAGTACATTTTCTGAGTATTTTTCTCCATAAATTCAAATTCATATTTATACAAAAATAAGTTTGCTAGATAAGGACCAAGGTCAGCACCCATGGGTATCTCAGTTATCTGTCGAATCCCAATTGTTCCGAGAGTAAAGTAGCTAGCTGTTTTCGACTAAAAAAGACAACGGACGATTTCTGCAAGAAAACCGCCTTATATGATTTTGAGTGAAAATGATCGCAAATGCCTTCTATTTCACTTCTAGATACTTGCGACTTCTAAAAATTGTTTCTGATCCCCTTGAAGAAATTTTTTCATATCATTTTTGGTGGCCATTTCAACAAATACCATATCATTTTTTCCCAAACGTTGACGTCTCCTGTCAAAGTCCTTGACCAAAGTTCATCTATAGAAAGATAGAGAATTTTTTTAGGCTTCAAAATGAGCTATAAATGAGTCTTTCAAAATTATGCTCACATGGCTCAATAGTCGAAATACTTGGCCGATATAATGATTTTCACCTATCTTAGTGCTTTAAACGCTCCTCTAGTCAATTTTCTGGCATAAAGAAAAATTATATATTTTTCAAAAACATACCATTCGATAGTCCTTGAAATTCTCCACAAAGTGAGCTGGTCAGAATATCCAGACGGGTGGAGCTAGTAATTAAAGATATGGAAAAGAAGCGTTTGGGTGTTATACAGTACAGCGTGTCATAATGAGAAGAACTCGTTTGTTTTTGATCTTTCAGTAAACGCTGGAACCAATCTGAATACTGTTTTGGATAGCCCGAAGATTTTTCTGTCAGATGAGGTGCATTTCGACGTTTCATGAGGAAAGCTGCTAATAGGGTTTCTGGAAAACCGGACCGCTGGAAAATCATATCCTTGGTTTTTGGTTAGAGAATTTTGTAAACCATATCGCCTGATAGAGCAAAGAATTCTGAGGAAAATAAGACATCTCCCGGCTGTCTATAACGCTTTTTCAGCGGAATGTTTTGGTAAATTTCACGCCCTTTGTAGCCATTCGTAAATCGACTGCAATTGCGCGAAAAAGCGTTATAGACAGCCGGGAGATGTCTTATTTTCCTCAGAATTCTTTGCTCTATCAGGCGATATGGTTTGCAAAATTTTCCAAAATGTGTGCTAGCTCTCAACTCTAAAAATAAAAGGGACGAAATTCTTAGGAGAAAGGTATCATTGTTAAAGAAAACTTTTTTTCCAAGAGCAGGAGGGACGTGCACTCCCCGTTTGGCCACGACACTGATAAAGTGTCGAAAAATCATAAGCTGAACATTTCTTGCAGATTTTTTCTTGTTTAATTCTGTAGTACGTTGTAATACTTTATTTGAACTATCAAACACGTAGACAAAGAAAATCACAAAAGGAAAATAAATTTCAATCATGTAAGGAAAAAGCGACTTTGGGAAGGTTCCCTCGCCAGCATTACTTTTGCTATAGGTCTTAGCTGTCGAAGTCTTCCTCAACATGGCGATCAAAGAGAGCGAAAACAAGGTAAATGCAGATGTGGATCGAAAAAGAGCAGTGAAAGAAAATAAAGTAAGTTCCTTTTTTGCTCTCTTTCTTTAACCTTTTTCTTCTTATATATTATTTTTTTTCTAGGAAGGAATACCGGGTGGAAAAGTACCACAAAGAGTCGATAAAGCTTCAAACAAAAAATATGAACAACGATTATTATCACAGTCTCCTGCCTCATCATCTCCAATAGCAGCAACTCTCACAACATCTGCAACAATTACATCAAGACCCGTCTTAATTCCAGTTACGAATCTCTCGTTGACATCAATTATGTCAACGCCACAACCATTATCCAAAATAACCCTTCTACCGCATCATAATTCTCCATCTTTACCTCAAACTTTTCGATTTGTCACAGTAAATAAGAATCCAGCATTATCGCGGACTGCAGCGACTCCTCCAACAGTTGTCGTTTTTGAAACGCAATAGACTTGTTTGTTTATTTAGAATTTCCTTTTTTTAAGCCGACTGAGTGAAACGTAGTTCAACGACATAAAGTCGCCTTATTGCTTCTCACTTGGAAGTGCATGTTCTTCTTTATTTTTTTCCCTACACTTTTCTCGGTGCCACTATCACCGCAGGGGGAGCCGTATAGTCCACCACCATTTAGTGGACAAACTCCCCCGGCAGTTGAAGAACAAAAATAGAAAGTGTAAGTTTACAATCTTTGATGTTTATTTTCACTGTTGTTAAGTTAATAACGCTGGTGGAATACATCATAAAACATCTTTTTCGCCGTGGAAGAAAGAATCTTGGAGCAGCATAATTTCCTTGCTATCATACTGAATTGAAGATTTTCTTGTGTAATAAGGAACTTTCGATCTTCGAAAGTCTTCATTCACTTCATTAGTTAGTTAGCGTTTCACGAGAGACAGAGAGAAGCAGCGTATTTTAGGGTATCATGATTTCATTTTCCAATAACAGGTACATTATAGACAACACATTGAGCTATCAGGTTAGACACACATGTAATACCCAAAGAAAGACACACAAACTGTTAAGTTTTTTAACGTAATACTACCTTCGGGACGGGGCTCGGCCCTATCTGGCCCACCCCTGGCTCGGCCACTGGGTAGTATCCAAGTGTATTTTTTTAGTATAAATAAACTCGTTTTTTTTAAAACAATAAACTATAGTATCAGACTAAGGGGCTAGTTAAGTCGGCGCTGTATGTTTCGACTTTATTGACATATTGCTTTGAGAAATTTGATTCTGAAAAACCATCATTTTCAAGTGCTCGCCTTATATAAAATGGAGCTTGAAGTGTTTTCGAACACCAAACACATTTTTTGATAGAATTTCATGAACGGCTGAATCGCGTAACTCAGCCACCGGAGTGTGAGTGCGTTACCTCTACATTATCCTATATATGAAACGAAAACGATGTATTCTGATGAAAACTATTTCAAGTTACTTGTCATCACATCTTCTGTACAAGAACAGTAACTGTTGCAATCTGCTAACGAATGCGGTAAACAATTATAAAACATTAGGTTATATTGTTCATGATCAGCACTGTGAAAGTGAGTATAAATTGTCCTCACTAAATTGCGAAAGATCGGTGGTGTGTATGAGCGTGTTTGTGTCGATGCGTTTTCCAACTTTTTTGCGGCACCTTATCAATCAGTAATAAAAAGCGGCTGTAAAATGAATGCATCTCATTTTCACCTTATACACTGTAAAAAAATGTGTGCTACTTGCACACCACTTTGGATGAATTTGCATACTTCCTGGCACACTTTTCTTTTTTAGTGTATATCTCTGTATTTAAACGGATGTTTCTGACATCTCTATCCAACAGATTTCTAACAAACCTTTTTTAACGTTTTTGTAAGAATAAGTCGACTAGATGTAAAAAAGTCTTCATGCAGAAAAATGATTTTTTACTGCATTTGGGTGAGTTACCACCATCTCATTTTCGTAAAATGTAGTGTTCTCCTGATGAAAATTAGCGTTTGCAACTTAAGAAACGAACAGATTATGTAAAACGCTTGTACGTTATTTCTGTATATAGATCAAATCGTACTTTCCAAGATGGATATCCTTAGAGCTAAACAGCTGAATCGCGTAACTCTGCTACCGGAGTGTGAGTGCGTTACCCTTTTTACCCTCCCTACTCGCATAGAATATCGATTAATCCTGCAATATATGGTTTTATTTTATCGGATATTTCTCTTCACTACGAGACTGCAATAATTCACTTAATTTATACCCTGTACAAAATGGACATTGAACCCCCTAAATTCAATCAGAAACATCATAATTATAAATAGAAACTACTGTTTGTAGTTGTCAGGTAACCTTGAAATCCACGGAATGTACAAATATAGAATAGCCTCAGTATTCTGCATTCTGAAGTCTTCAAAGCGTTCTGATGGTTTTTGAATGGCTACCTCAAGCTACGGGTTAACAGTGCTAAGGCTCCAAGAAAAGCAGATACTATGCCTGAGACGCTGAAAATCAAGGTATCAACTGACTCCCATTTTGAAGTGGACATTTTGGGTTATCTATTCATAAAAAAACGAGAATATTCGTAATCCAAGTTCCTTAGACGAGGCGATGACCTTGTTATTTGATAAGAAGCCTTGAATTGGTGGTGACGAGGCGGAGAAATGCCGTTTTGCTTTTTTCCAAAAACATTTTATATCGCAATGACTAAGTGTTTTGCAATACAGAAGGCCCTAAGGACGTACCTTCTTGTTTTCCTGTTAGTTTTGTTGCTATGAGGGCTTCCATAAATTGCATGCTGCTCCGTGAGAAAGTGTTATAAAGGGCTCGGAGACGTCTCATTCTCTTCAGAAATGTTTGCTCTACACGATCAACGTATTTGCAAAGAATTTCTAGATTGAACTCCGAGACTTAGTTTTCTGAGATTTAGGTTTTTCAGAGACTCTGATTTCAGAAGTTTTGATGGAACCTTTGTATATACCCCCACCTAAGATCGGAAATTCTTTCAGCTGGTCAAATTTATTCTAGCTATTATGGTCATGCAATAGTTACAACTAGACGCATTTATGCGTCGCCGGGAGCCAAAGGGTTAAGAAAAAGGGAGGGCAATTCGTCAAGTTGACTTGACCAATTCGTTTTGTCGACCGAGGCTTATAACTTTAAAAAAAGAGCACTGGGACAAATCGACCTGCCCGAACGCCACGTATCCGATTCCCAGAATCGATGATACACTCGATGCCTTAAAAGGTGCGAAATATTTCAGCACCTTAGATCTCTCATCGGAGTTTTGGCAAGTCGAGTTAGATGAGGGCAGTAAAGAAATAACAGCTTTTGTCACACATGAAAGTATCTTTCAATTTAATGTGATGCCATTTGGGCTGACTAATGCACCAACGACTTTCCAGCGTCTCATAGATCTTGTCCTTCGAGGTTTGAAATGGAGCTGTTGCATGATCTACCTTGATGATGTGATAATATATTCACCAATCTTTTAACAACATCTTAAAGACATAGACAATGTTCTAAAACGCATTAGAACCAGTGCCCTGACTTTAAAACCATCAAAATGTTCCTTTTGCCATCAAGAACTTAAATATTTAGGTCACATTGTAAGCGCGCAAGGAATTAGACCGGATCCGGAAAGCTAGAGGCTGTATACTGTAATCTTGAATTAATTTCCAGTTTATAGAAAATCGCCTGGGAGTTTTCTAGTTTGTAGAAATTCCTCGACGAATTTCCGTCTTTCTAGAAAATGTTGATTTTCTACTTTATAGCACCGATAGGTGCTACCCTGCCAAGGTTTTCTACTATATACTAGGAATCAATGAAAGCCTTTTAAAAGTAGAGGGATCCATAGAGTTTTGGACGGGTCGGGTCTACGTTCTCATCTACTTGGCCTCCACGGAAGCCTTTATCTTCCGCCAGTAGTGACAAAGTATGTCACAAAACATTTGATTTTCTAGTCCTTTTCAAGTGCAGACTTTGGTCTTTCCCAACAGAAAAATAATTAGCTTTTCAGCACATCGGAGACATGTAGAAATAATGCTCGACATTTGTCCATTTGTCTTTTGCATCACCCGTTATAGTTCAACTCATTCGTTTCGGTCACAAGAGGAGGAAATTTTTGGTGTTTTTTAATGTAAAACAGCTAAAAAATCTGCTGTATCTTGAATTATCTATGCCCATTTTGTTTTTTCTCGTGGTAAGACTTGAGTCGTACCAAAATTCGCCTCCGTTAGGCTGAGCCTTACCAAAAATTAGGAAGTAGAAATTGTTTCCCGATGCACTTTTGTATTGGACTTTTCCACTGAGAACGACGAGCTTTGCAAGTAAGTTACTTGCAATGTTTTTAGTAATAGAAAAACTAGTCCAAGAAGAATAATTAGGAAAAAATAAAGTTTCATCTGATGTTGTTGTTTAACTTAGTCACGTTCATTATAGACCTCAAACAGATAAATAAAATCATTTCGATATAATAAGATTTAGCTAATTCAAAATTCGAGTGAATTTTTTTCTGATGTTTGATTACACATTTAGATTTATCTCATCGAGCTGATTCCAAAAAACACCTTTGGAACTTTCAAAACCCTTTTCTTCGAAGAGAAAATCTCAAATTACTGAGGTGTCAAAACCGAGAGAAAAGGACCTCTATAGTAAAAGTTATTTTTCGAAGGCGTATTACACAATGAAGTTCTGAAAATTTTTTTGCTAAATCAGCGTTCAAAACTAAATTATGAAAATGTGTCTAGAACTTCTCAAAAGTAAACACTCATCCGACAGTGATGTTCAAACTTTCAGAGGCCGAGAATCAGTCACTCATTTTGAGCGCACATCAAGTTTTTTGGATCCAGACATATACCCTTGATTCATATACCATTAGAACCGCCTTGAAACGGACCCCAAACTAATTGAGAACTTTTTAAAATTTCTTTTCCTCGCTAAGAAATATCTACCTTACTGGGAAAAATCAACCTTCTGATTGTAATTCACAATTTTCTCCATCAGAACCCAACTTTCACGCAGTGTAAACATCATATTCGGAATCACCGTCGAAAATCGAGTCGAATGATACCTCAAATTTTTTCGTTCATTTTAATTTTTTGATGAAAATATCAGTAATTCTTCGACGCCAAAATTCAAAAAAAATTGAAGTAATCGAATAAGATAAAAAGTACATCATTCGACTCGATTTTTGACGCTGATTCCGACTATGATATTTGCACTGCGTGAAAGTTGAGTGAAGACGATGATGAACCATCAGCTCGGAAAAGTATGAAAAGGTCAGTGAATTTAGGAAAATAATTACAAATAAATAACTTTATTTTTCTAACGAAAACGAAGAAAAATATGATGTTGTTTTGTTTTATTTTGTTTTGTAGACAATTTCGTAATGAAAGCGAGAAACGTCGTCGTGATCAGTTTAACCAGTTGATTGGTGAACTGAGTTTAATCATTGGAGATCAACAAAAACTCGATAAATC